CCCTCTCCCCGCTCCGATCTGCCAGCGCTGACTGGAGGAACGGACGGGGAGGGGGCGGGTACAGCTGGCTCTGCCTCTAGATAGGCAGAGCCAGCTGTCACTCACGCAGCTGGGCGGATCTCGACATCGAGGTCGGGATACGCTCCGGCTGCGGCGGCTCAGTATACCGCGAGCTACAGGTATACTGAGCCTAGGGTGACGGGAGGACGCTAGTTTGTGTCCTCCCGTTACCCTAAGGAGAACTATGGGGAAAAGCCCTGACCCCATAGTTCTCCTTTAAAGGTTCTAATTTGAGAAGTAAAAAAAAAAAAAGGAGATAAAAGGCAGCTCTGTCTGATTCCAGTTTGTATTGGAGAGCTGAAAGGAAGCATACTAGTATCCTAAAGCCCAATTCCAGCTTGGGGGAACATAACATATTACATTGACACATTGATGTAAAGATACAGATACATAGGATAGAAAAGAGACACGTGTCTGTCAAGGTCAACCCAGAAGATTATATTTGTCTAGACTTTGTATCCTTTAAATCCTATATTTATGATTCATACTTTTTATATTAAAAAGAAGTGCACTTAGTGCGGGGACGGTGTTAATGGGCTTTGAGTTGTGTTGATGGCATCATTTTGAGATGCCTCTGAGATCATTCAGAGTTCATTGACAGGTGCCTATGACTTGGGGTTGACCTCCTTCTGACCTGCATATGACCTGCTTCAAGCACTTTTTTCATTCCTTTAGACTTGCCTGAGGGTGCAAACAAAAGCCCATCATCCCAGGCCCTGAAAAAGACAATCAAGGTTATTTACTAAAGGGTGAAGAGTTTGTAGAAGTGAACAATCTAGGACAACATAGCTGAACCTGAAAGTGAGCTGAATTGGAGAATTTTTCCAAATCAGCTATTTTGGTCTAGATTGGTCACTTCTCCTGTCTTCTCCAAACCCTTCACCCGCTTGTGAACAACGCTGAATGTATCAATGTAGTCAGTATAGGCTGCCAAATAAAAAATCCTTCATTTGCACAGTTGGTATGTTCTGTTCTTCCAAGTGAACTGCGTAACCTCTAATACCAGAGCTATTACGTTCTGACCTCATTAAAGGAGAACTATGAGGTGAGTGCTTTTCACTCACCTCAAAGTTCTAGCCGACCTGTGACAATGAGACTGTCACAGGTCGGCTCAGTAGATCGGGAGGTGAGCGAACACATACCGGCGTTCGCTCACCTCTC